TGGGGGGGGGGCATGGGGAGGGCCGAACAACACAGAAGACAGGTAGTGATTCTACAGCATCTTACTATGCTGATGGACAGTGACTGTAATGGGGATTGTGGCGGGGGGACTGGTGAAGGGGGTGTCTAGTAAACATAATGTTCTGCATGTAACTGTAGATTAATGATAACAAACAAACAAAAAATTACTATGCACCTGTCCAGCTCTGGGCCTTTGAGGATGGAGAAAGCTTCCGAGACAGATGGGCTAAGTGCTGACTGGGTGGATGGGGACTTGCTCAGCACTCCTGCCCTGTCCCCCAAGGGGTGGTAGTGCAGCATAGGGAATATTGTCAGTAAGACTGTAACTTCTTTGTATATGTTATAGCTGCACTTATGGTGGAGGGTCATTGAGGAAAGTATATAATCATCAAATCACCATGCTGTACACTTGAAACCAATATAATGTTGTATAGCAACTAGATTTCAATAAAAAGATTTCTTCTAAAAAAAAAACCCGCATCATAGCACCTAGAAATTTTTGCTGGTCCTCCAGAAGTACACAAACTCCAGTATGAAGACCAGTAAAGAAGGAGCTTTTGACCATTTAAAGAACTGGGTAAAAAACCAGTAATTGGTGACCGTTCAGTTCCTAGTTACTACAAGGGAGGAGGTGTAGTATCTGCTTGGTGAGTTTGAAAGAAGGAACCAAGCATGTGTGAAGCAATCCAGCCTGGCTTCAGTGGAGCTAGCTGCCTGTCCTCAGGAAATGCTTTCTCTGCCACAGTTCCAGTTAGAGAGGCCTACGGTTGTCCTGTTTAGCTCTGACTTTCAATGGGTAAGTGTAAGGGGAAGAGAAGAAGTGGAAGTCGGGGTGAAGGATGTGCCAGAAAAACATTTGCAAAACAACTATGGCTATAAGTATATACTGAATCTCTCCAATTCAGAATTTCCTTCTCTGGCTCATAAAGTGTTTATCTTCAAACTCTTGTTTGCATGCCTCTCAAAGGTGTTTTATTTATGTCATGTCTGTCTAGACAGGGAACCCTTGAGAAAGGTACAGGAAATATCTTTGGGTAATCAAAATAATGTGAAGTTTGAGACTTCTGGCTTCAGTCACGATGGGTTCTCTATTTTGCAGCATTTTTTAATTTGTCCAATGGCAGGTCACTGTGATTGATACTGGCAGGTTACTGTGATTGATATTCAAGGGGGAAGAAACTTTTTAAACTGAAAAGTTTAAATCAGAAAGCAGGCTTTCATCCAGCCCACCTAGCCTAGATGTGGAATGGGGGTGATGGGCTGGGTAGTAGGTCTTTGTGTGTGGGTGTGGCTGGGTCTCAGGTAGGCAAGTGCCTCAGGCCTTACAGAGTTCAGTCAGTGGAGGCAGCTGGCCCTCTGGGAATAGGGAATTTGGATTACCAAATTTTAGAGTTCAGTCCTAAGAGTCAAGTATTTACTCTTTCTAAATTTTGAAGCTCTAAGGCTGGTGTTTTCACAATCTCATAGATCTTACTAACCCTTTGGACTCAAAAGTGGGGCATAAATTCAGAGCTCCTATTTCTGAGGAGGAGATCTCAAACACTATTGCTGCAAAAGGACCTACAAGGCATGGAATTCTCTAAAACTAAGCAGATTTAGACAAGAGAGATACAGATTAAAGAGGTAGCATAATTTTGCAGGTGGCAGTTGAAACTCATGAACTAAATTTCACCAAGGGTTAAGAGTTATGACTATATATTGTGTATTGGGTGTTTGTGTGTGTGTACACACACACACAGTGGGGAAGGGGCAGGAAGAATAAGTGAGACTTTAGGAAAGGATAATCAGGCAGAGGAAGACAATCAAGAGAAAATGGCTACAGTGGGTGAAGAGTTTCATAAAGGAAAATCAACACTGATTAAGTAACACAACGAAGTATCAGTAGGAAGTGAAAAGAAGTTTCAGCAGTTAAGATGCCATTATGGATCTCTGCCATAGTTCAGTGTAGTTGCAGGGGAGCAGACAAATGGTCTGGGCTGAAAATTAAAATTTTAAAAAGCAGAGTCAACAAGACATAGATTATGCTTTTAAAATATTTGGATTTAGAATCAAGAGGTAAGGTTTTCCTTAGGCTGGTTACCTTGGTTAAGTTATAGGCCAGAGTAGGAGTAATGAAACAGTAGAAACTGAAGATGAAGGAGTATGGGGTAAGTGGTAATAGCTGATATAAGATTCCAAAGAGAACAGATGAAAACAGAATAACTGTACTGGGAAGATACAAGTAGTCTGGAAGTATAGGAAAAAAGGGTTAACATTCAGTCTATATCCTATATTTTGTCACAAGGTACATGCCTACTCCTCTTTTCACTTACTGGGGAACTGCTATATGTGAGTGTATGTGGAGAAAGGTAGAGGTTTTGATGAAGAGGCAAGTTGTAGAATAATCTCATTGTGGAAAGAGAAAGGACACTAATCCAACTGGTGATTTCTAACTGAGGGTATAGGGAACAAAATGACGAGAAAGTTGAGCTTTTTAAGATGAGGATTTAAGGATTTAGGGAGAGGTAGTCCAGATTAAAGATATACCTTCAGCAAATCTGAATATAAGTAAATGTGGTTAAGTCAAGAGTAGAAAACCATAGTGAGTGATGAGCCCAGAAAACATAGGACGAAAATGTGTGCAATTTCCCCTGCAATAAGAAGACTGACGTTTTTTGAGAAGGGAGTAGGACAATTCATCTGCGTATTTGAAACTGGAAACTGTGGAAAAGTTAACACTGAACAAGAATGATCAGACTAAGGACAAAAGGTGGCAAAGGCAAAGGCATTTACTTATTTAAAGAGACTGTTAAGCCTACTGCAATACTTCAGGTAAGAAGTGATAACTCAGAGGAGTAGAATAGAACAGAAGGCTCATAAAT